TTGTAGTGTCACACCATTGGTGTGACACCAAAGCAAAGGACTACCTAAGCTTATATACTCTTCATGTAAGTCAACAGAGGCGAGATTTAAGAACATCACGTAATCCACACCGCCTTTGCCGCGATCGGTACACACTATGCAACCGGGAATGCACGGCAAATTGTTTTAATCGTTTTAACAGAGTGCTTTAGGTTGAAGTAACTCTTATTTTACAAACAACATATTTAGTAAACTTAACCATACAGCGGGTTGGTTTCACTAAAGTTTTCTGGGTTAATTTAACCAATTAAAAAAATATATAACTATCTGGTTTAGTACCGTCAGACTAATCTTGTTTATATTAACCTTCCCACAGTTGATAAAAATAAAAAAATACAAAAATAAATACTTATGGGTCAACTAAATTAATATAGTTAAATAAACTATTGCTTTTTTTCTGTGTAGTCTCAAATATTTTTAGATAAACACCGTTTTGGTGTTTGCTGTATATAACATTTTCAACCATAATAAAGTGCTCTTTTAGTTCCACCCTTACATCCAAACTAAGATGTCCCATAAGCCAACTGAATGGCTTGTGCGGCTTAGGGGTAGGAACGGACCGACGGCTTAAAGTCCCCTCCGAAGGACTATACACAATGGACAAACACAAATAAACAACCATTCCCAAGTGGGATTCGAACCCACGACCTCTCGGCTCGTACCCAGGAGCTCTGACCACTACACCACCGAGGCCGGTTATATTAACACCACTTAGTGTTGGATTTTGACACCATTTTAAGATTACTCTTTACACTACAGAAATTTTAAACAGTGTACAGAGCCAAAATCGTTCGGACCTTCTAATTGTTTAATATTTTGAAATTTAAACATTGAAAAACTGAAACCCTATAAGTAAAGAAAATTGTAGTAAGCCAAAAATAAAATATAAGTAACACGTTTTTAAAAAATGGATAATAACGATTACAATGTAAAATTGATCCTATAATTTACAATTAAGATGCAGCTAAGAAGATAATCGCAAACGAACAGCCAGAAAACAAAGTGTTTTGGGGATTAGGATTCGAGATTATAAACCAGTGTAGTGCAAAAAACCGACGTTTATCGTTTTACCTACAACAAAAATATAAAATGACTGTTCGTAAAATATCATGGACTGCCATAATAATTTTTCACTGAGCTCGTTGCATCACTTCGGTATATGGGAAATATAATTGCCGATTAAATTTTACGAATCGTAAATAAATCACACCTTTCCGTGGATTGTAGTTTTGTCAGTGCCTTTTATTATTATCCTATTTTTACAATAGTCATGGAGTAAATAAATTCAAATAATATTATATTGTGCGACTAGTTGGAGAAATAAAAGATTTCTCGAGTATAAAAATAGCGGTAACACGCTAATAAAATCTCCTTTTTTGACCAATAGTCGAACACAATATTTTATTCAACTACCTACCTCAAGAAATAAACAATCAAAGAACCGAAATACATATGCCGCAAGGAATTTAAAGAACATTTTATTTAATACCTATATGATCTTACATTTAAAATATATTAGACAGTTTCAATGTAATTTTTTTTAATTTTAAATTTAAGCCAACCCTGCTTAAAATACCCCATAGAGACCTATATAAAATATTCTATCGGGCGCTACCGGATTCAATATGTGCATTTGTCCATGGTTTTTTCCGGATACAGCCCGATAGAAAATGTATAGGAAATTACCTATAGGCACATTTACATTTTCCCTATTGAGACCGATAGCAAATAACTTAATGAAGAATATATATATCCCTATAGAACAACCATAAAACATTTGACAAAATTTTATTAAAATCTATGGGGTCCTATGGGGAAAAACTAATTTCTACATTTATGTATTTTGTCTATTTTCCCCATTGAAACCAATAGCAAATAAATCAAGGGTGGATATCCCTATAGAACAACCATAAATCCCAACTATGGGTCCTATACATACCGATACACCCTATAGAAACACCATACATTCCGATACAAATATCTATCGGTTTGAACAGGGTCTCTATGGGGTATTTTAAGCAGGGAACTTCAGCCGGTGAGCAAACTTTGGGTGTGAAATCATCTCATCGCGATGCATCGTTTCAATAACTAATTGTTTATTTCCTTGGGGGGATACGCACCTTTAGATTTAAATATAGTTATAAAAAAATGCTGGAATTTTATTCAAAACGATTTCCCAAATCATACAAAATAAAACAATTCTTTACTTATTGAAACAAACATTTTTTTACACCTATTTTGGGATCTGTAGATTGCTGTTACTTTAATTTTTGCTTTTAATATTAGCTTTTTTTTAATGTTTAGATGCATACAAAATCTGAAGAAATTATTGACATTGTTTAAACTATTTAAAAAAACATCTGTAAGATAATGTCAATATGTGGAGAAAATTGTATTTTATGGTGTATGATTTAGGGAATCGTTATTTTTTCAAATCCCACTAATTTTGGTATCTACATTCAAATCTAGGACTAGTCGATTTTTATCGATAACTCTTACGAATTCTGACCTAAATATAAAACGCTAAAGTATAGTATGCAACTCTTTTTATAAACTTATCTGGACACTCCTTTTTATCATAAACTCGCTTGGAAGCTTCGCTTGTATGAAACTCGTAACTAAAATGTCGTTTATAAAACTTGATACATAATATACTATTTTCTACTCCCACCTTTAAATCGCCCATTATCGTACATTTTCCATACCAATAAGTGACCATTTAAACATTTAGAAGTTGTGGTTTTATGGCGTTTTAGTCACGGGCTAAAATTAGCTTTAAGTTATTTGACAGTTGTCAAATGTCATACAATCATTAAAATAAAGTGCCCTTCTTGTAAAATAATACTAAATGTGAAAATTTTATTATCTCAATACAAAAATACAAAAGCATGAAATAGTTTCTCAACGCCAATATTTGAAAAGTTTATGTAAACATTGTACTGACCCAGTGGCGGCTCGTCAGGGTAGGCCTCTGAGGCCGCGCCTCACCCTTAAAATGAAGGAATGAACGACATTTTGTATTTTGCTTGTTGCCTAATACAAGTGTATTTTTACAACAGTTCTATCAAATAAAAAGTAAAAAAAAACAATGAATTTTACTCGGTCAAACCCAGTACATCGTTAAGAGTCGGCAGGACAGAGGCGAAATATTTACAGATTGGTAAGCTCCTATTTAAATGCGAATCAGCCAAGTTTGCCGCAAACTGTTCGCGTTTATCTTTTGCTTTAAGACGAAATAATATTAATTAATTAAATATGATTTTGTGTCGCTCACACGGTGGGGATTTTAGTGTGCTTCCCAACGTGTATAGAGTAGGTGTTCTTGTTTAGATTAAATTATTTAAAACTTTTGGCTGATCTTTTATGGTTTTTATCTTAAGTAGTATAATTTCTTATTTTATTATTGTGGTGCACTGGGGAACACATTAGAAAGATAAGGTAAATTTAGCAGTTTTTATTAAGCTGTATTGAGTTTTAATTAGGGTTAGGTTTTCAAAATACCGGTAAGCTTTCTTTGGTTAAATTTAACAATTTTTTTTTTAAATAAATCCTGTTCATTACGTTATTTCCTCAATAATTAAAAAGCCTTTTTTTAAAGAAACGAAACTGAAAAAAAGACAGATATTATGCAGTCGTCGGACTCATAAAATGTCAGCAATATTTAACGATAAGAGGCTGGGTAAGCAATATTCCAGATCTTTTCTAATATCTTGGTACGAAACCTATAAGTGGTTATGCGGAAGTATTTATAAACAAAGCTTATTCTGTTGGCCTTGTATTTCATTAGGCCGCGTCAAAAACAATTGGAGTTCAGGGTGTGGGTATTCCGATTTCTCTGATATTTTATTTGTTTTATATGTATAATCCATCCTTATAAATATATTTTTAAGTTACAGATATATATTTTATTATTTATATATTTTATTTTTTCTAATTTATAATTGTTTAGAAGCGCTATCGGTCATTTTAAAAAAGGGTCAACGCGACGTAAAAATTATTCGTATTTAGATAAAATTAACCTCATGTAGCCTCACCCTTCTATACACCCACGAGTCGCCACTGTACTGACCTTTTAATTGAAGTGCTCATAAAACATTTTCTTCACTTTCACTGTGAAAAACTGTTGTCCATTTTTAAGGGATACATTTCGATTTAACACATAAAAATATGAAATTTGACGGTAACACAGATTCCCCTATTGTTTTATAGATGTCGCTCTATACAAATATTTAGTTTATATAATTTTTATAAAATAAGAAGAAGTATAGTATGGAACTCGTTTATAAACTTTTATAGACACTTATTAATTTAAGTACTCGCTCGCAAGCCCCCTCGTGCCTACATTAAATTCGTGTCTAAAATGGCGTTTATCACACTTTACACATAATATACTATTATAAAATTGTAATAATTTATAAACTTTGAACCCTTAAAATTTTGATTTTATACAAATTATTTTGTATTTCTAAATTGCAATGGATTTTAGCATAAAAATGGCGAATGCGCCAGGATAAATGTATTATTATGTATTATTTCTATTAATTTAAAAATATTATTTGATTTAACTTTTCAAGCGTTAATATTGTTTATAAATTTTAAATTGGTAATACATTTTATTTGGTGAAGTTTTAAATTTAATTATTTTTAACTTTTATTTATTGCATTTATTTTATCAACCAACTAAAAATTAAAACTCAAAAATGTTGATCAGTTTAAAAACAAGTATGTATAAGTTGTATTAAAAGATATTTTTTAATAAATTCTAAAAAGCTACTAAAAAGATTTTATAACTTTTAATTAAAGAACTGTTTATACTAACTGAGTTTTATAGGTATTTTTAAGAAATACTAAAAATTACAATGGCTGAATAACTATTACTCATAAAGACATTGTTTAAAAACTTTATTTCTAACGTAAGCAAATTTTCTTTTCATATCTGCCTTTGGTTCCGGCTCGTTTAGGATAATAACACATTCGTAAAGGTAAGTTTTCACTAATATTAGGTCTAAATGACACTTTTTAAACTGCAGCTCTTCTTATTTTCATCTAAATGTTAATTGGGTTGTCTAATGGACATACTTTTCTATAACTACTTGTATTGTTACCATTTCTGTGCTTCTTACTATATTTTTACTGAGCATCTCTATTACCAGTGCATAGTTATACTGCCTTATTAGTTTTAAAAGGACTATGTTATGCACAACATTTTTGTTGGTTGTATGGTTGCCTTTAATACACATGCATAATTTCTTTTTTTCTCTATCTATTCTTTTTCTATGTACTTCTATACCTACTGTGCTTTTTGCTTTACGTAAATGTACAAAGATTATTATTATTATTATTTAAATTAAAGTGCGTCGACTGCTGCGGTTATCGGCAGTAATTATTATTATTCTAAGGATGATCACAATCTGTCAGATGCGCAATGGATTTATCACATTCGTGAATTATATTTATCATTTAATATAAGATAAAAGCTTCGAATTCGTAGACGTCTAAAGCTGCGTAAAAACTTATCAAACGCATGCGGCCGTAGTTATGTCCACATTTATAGAACGTATGCGTACTATTTTGTTTGCCAGCTTTCCGAAAAACTATTTTCTATTAAAAAAAATTGGCAAAATATACTAAAACACGTATATATTTGAAGCAAAAAGCGCCTAACGAATTTTCTTTAATATACCAATAAGGAATCGAAATTTTTGCATACGAAATCATGAATTTGTTAATACGTTCGCTAAGTGTATACGCAGCTTTATATGTAATACTTTTATAAATTTTTAAGTGTTTTTAGTATTTTTTAACTAGCTTTAGATGTTTATGTTTTTGTCTATTTTAACGAACCTAATTAAGGTTAAATGTATTCAGAAATAATTTTAATACATTTAGGTGGGTGATTCTACACGTAAAAATAAAATAAACAATTGCTATAAACACATGTCCGAAAATGCCTTCTGGGGGTGCTATGGGCATTTTAAACTGTTTCGCATTAATTATTTCAGAAAAAGTTAGTGCTTTATTTATAGGGTATTTTTTGGGTAAGAAATAATTTGGTGGTGTTAAATCGACTGAATAATGATCACAAGCGGGAAAAACATCGTATTCTAAAAAATCCTCATTTTAGGTTTTTTTGAATTCTCGATCTTGGAAGACAATTATTTATATAATTTTACGTAATAAAGCTGCTTTTGTTACAATCATGGATTTAAGAAAAATCTGTGGGTAAAAGGCATAAGGGGATAAGTCAAAAAAATGTTTTGACTTATCCCCTTATGCCTTTTACCCACAGAAATGTTCCGCCACAAAAAAATCGTGAATTAGTAGGCAAGGATAAACATCAAATAAGCTTGCTTCGAAAATATCGTTATTTTGTCAGTGGTGACAAATTTTGCTAAATTGTTTGTCATAACATAAATCAGAATAAACTGAAAGTTCTAACACTTACTATGAAATGGCCAACATGCATTTCATGTACGGTAAGGCCAATGATAATATATTATCCGACTATAGTCGGGTACACCCCCATGTGAACTGACGTTTACCATTTTACATCAAAGACTGTGTGAAACTGGCACTTTTTAAGTAAACAATGGTGATCACGGAAGAGAACGAAGACACGGTCCTGGAAGTAGTTACCGTTAATCCTGAGACAAGTGCTAGAAGAATTGCTATGCAAAAGGACATTAATGGACAAAATGTACTGTTTGAGAAATATTGCACGAACAACTGCTATATTCCTATCATTTACAAAGATTACAAGCTTTAAATCCTTCCACTTAGACTAAAATTCTGTCTCTGGTTAAAAACTTTATTGAATTTTTTTTTACCGACAAAGCCAGATTCAATAGGGATGGAAATATTAATTTTCATAATAGTCATGCATTAGCTGATTAATCCGCATGCCTTTATTGAATTAAGGCACCAGCAAAGATTTTCTATTAACGTTTGGGCAGGAATAATTGGAAACTTACTTATATCTTCAAAACGTTTTTATAAACCTCCTTGATGACGTGCCCTACCGTTTAAGATGTTTGATGTTTTTATGCATGATGGCGCCCCACCCCATTTATCTGCGAACGTAAGAATACATTTAGTTGAAGTTTACGCCGCCCGATGGACCAATTCCTTGGCCTCCTCTTTCTACAGATTTAATTCCACTCGACTTTTGTGTGTGGGGATATTTAAAATCATTGGTGTATGCAGTCCTAATTTATAACGTTGATGAATTAATGCTTGTAAATCCATAAGAAATAAACCTGGATTTTTCTAAAACAAGAAGAGAACAGTGGTCATTTTATGCATTTAATAAAATAAGAATTGCTGAAAATTGGAAATAAAGTTCGGTATAGTTCATTTAGTATGTCTAACAACTAGAATTTATGGATTTTTGTGGCAAGACATTTTTAATAGCGTTTTTCTCGGAAACGGTTGTCTCCATAACTTTGTAACAGGTGCAGATTTTTTACGTAAAATTATCCAGTTATCCAACAAAAACAAATATGAGGATTTTTTCCACGAGAAGTCCCTGTTTTGCACGCCTATGGTCATCATTTATCCGATTTCGTGCCAAAAAATACCCCAGAAATAGCATCATTATTTTCGCAATAACCGTTTCTGAAATAATTAATAAAAACCAGATTTTGAACAGTTTAAAATGCCTATATAGCCCCCAGGTAAAATCACGCCCTGAAATATATTACCGTTATGTTAAGGTTAGTTTGTAGTTATGTCTATTTTTTGTTTGTTTTTGCTTCTATTTAAATGTCTGAATAATATTATTTTAAAAGAAAATACAATTTAGAAAAATAAATGTTTCTTGCTTAGCTTAGTAGTTAATAATATTTTTTTTAAACTTGTTGTTATCTTAAAGTACCTATTAAATATCTTTAGAAACTCGGATAGAAAATTAAAATCGGTTAATGAGTGCAAATTTGTTTTGCGGGGCGCAAGGGCCTACGCATTTTAAACCTCATGAAACCTTTCCATCGCGACGAATTAAATTAAATTAAATTTGAAATAAATCAAAATGAGACTGCTCGGCATTTAAAAGTGTGTGCTCGTGATGAAGGTCATCCTTTGGAAAATCGGTTGGTATCGATTGCTTCACAGTGAAAATGGCGTTCTTGCAAAAACAACATTTCTTTGATCGCCGCGCGGAGATTTTCTCACATAATCGTGGTGGTAATTAGTCGGGTAAAGAAATGTAAGATGACGGGTAACACAACGCCAAAGTAATACCATCAGAACACCAGAAAACTGTGAGCGAGTGCAAGAGGCTGTTATAAACCATCCGCGCCGTTTAGATTCTAACCGGGTAATCTTCTTTATTATGCTCTCGCACAATTTAAATTTTGTCTTTTTAAATATATTCTGAACGCTAGATTTTATTAAATGCAGTGTAGCTAAACTTGTACAAATAAAACACTGCTTTTTCTACGAATCCAATACATAACTTTTAGTATAAATTTTCGCATGCCTCTGTTGATTTTGTGACTCTTATGTCCTCTTTCACAATTTCTGGTGGCATTAAATTCTCAATTTTATTATACTGTCTCATATTGTCACTGATGTTTTAAAGTAAATTAAACAAATTTTTGAATTAAATTCGAAACAATAATTGTGTATTCCACTCACATTTAATTTTCATGCTTATGTCTTAATAGCTACATGTCATTAAATGCTCATTGACTAATATATATTCGATTAGTATATATAATCGAACCTGTTGCAACGCGCGCTGTCTATTACCAATTCCGACTATATGCAATATATAATATAATTCATGTAGAAAAACATTATTAACCCTTTTGCTTTGGAAACCTGTTAAGTCGACTTAGTGTCGAACAATGGTTTAATACGCTATTGCAGGTAGGTGGCAATTTCACAAAAGACTAATTTTTTATTAATCATAAACTTTTATTAATAATTATAAACTTATTGGGTATTTTTAATTAATGTTTATGTTTAACATAAACTTTTAAAATATAAAAAAAGAAATTGCTTATTTATTTCAATATAAAATTTTAAATAAAAACTGCATTCAATTTAAGTGGTGGGAGTCTGCTAGGCATAGGCGAGCTTTTATTATTTTAGTTTACCCATATGATGTAGATTTATAAAAAATAAAGAAATCATTTTTTAAATGTAAGTATAGTGAAAACACGAAAAACGGTTAAATCAGCAAGCGGTTCTCACATCCGTACAGGCATGTGTCTTTCCTTTAAACCTTTCCGTTACGGAAGGGTTTTTAACCTTAACTCTTGTAAAACTTCGAATTTCGCAAAACTGCTCGTCCTAAATCTACATCGTAAAAATAAGGGGAAACTAACGTAAGAGAAACCTACGCCTAAGAAGTCTTCCACCACTCAATTTTTTTTTGCAGACTTTTGTTGCCGTCTCTCGTGAACCTGTAATAGCTGATTAAAATGTTTTTAGATTATAAGTCGTTTCTTAACATGCTTTTATTTGCGAAGAACAGGTTTCCTTTGCAAAAGGGTTAATAACTTTTTTCTGCAGGAATCATGAAAACTTTCAACTCGCAAGTTACCGATTTATTTGCGGTGTCAGTAAGCGCGTTAAACACGTCTTGACCGGTATATTAGTATTAAATGTGAGCATATTTAGTTTTACGGCATCAATCCATGAATTTGTTGAATAAAAAAAAGTAGTACACTGAAAAAAATAAGCTGTTGAAACAACAAAAAAAATATTAATTCAACTCTTTATGCACTTTAAATACAAGCAATGGTTTTTGCACGTTTACTTAACCATCTAAAAATGTCAAATTGTATTGTTTAATTGAACAACAAATAACAGTCAAATGAACAAAATAAGAATATTTGTTCTAATCTGCTAATTTGGTTAATTTAACATTTTTAGGGTGTTAAGGTAAATTTCTTGAAATGTCCAGGTAACCTTTTTAGCATATTCACTTAACACCAATAAAATGTTAAATTAAAATTCTGAAAATGTAAAATTCTTT